ACCAGAGGTAATCCTTGAAGTCTTGGTTAGACGAGTTCATCTGGTTCCTGTTGGGGTGAGTGACAAAGGCTTGAGTTTCTCACTTGCTTTGTTGCATATGCGTTTTGAAGGGATGGGTCACCCCAAAATGACAATTCTGTCATCATTTGTTCACTCTGTACTTAAAAACTCAATGAGTATCTTTCTTCTGGTAAAGATAAAGAGGATATTTGGAAAATGTTGACCTCAAATTCTTCCAAGAATGGAAGTCAATGGTTACAGGTTTTAAAATTTTATTATTTAAACAAAAATAAAACTGAAGTAATTTTATTTGGGCACAAATAAAATTCTCTGTTAAATGTCAATGTGAGATCTTTGGCCCCACATATTACCCAGTGTGCAAGAAATCTCAGGGAAAACTTCAAATTTGACCAACAGATACTGTGGTAAAATCCTGCTTTTACCACCTCTGGCTAAAGTCAAACCATTTTTATCCCAGAGAAATTTTCAAACGGTGATTCATGCCTTCATAACAACTCGTCTGGATTAATGTAAGTCTCTCTATTTTGATATTTCTCAGTCTTCTCTCTCATCTGCAGCTGGTAAAAAAAAATGCGGCTGCTTGATTACTCGCTGACACCCGCAAGTGTGAGTCGGTAACTCCAATTTTAGCTGCACTTAACTGTTACTAATTAAATAGAGAATTGATTTTGAAATTTGATTACTTGTTTACAAAGCCATCCATAATCTTGCTCCTCAGTACCTTACAGACTTGCTTTGTCCGTATACCCCCTCTCGATCATTGAGATCTTATGATCTCAATTTACCATCCGTGCTCAGAAAATGTCTTAAAAAACAAGGTAATCAAGCTTTTGCTGTTGCTGGTCCTAAAGTCTGAAACACTCTACCATTTCACATTAGACTTTCCCCCTCCATTTCTGTGTTTGAGTCTGTTTTCTATTTTCTCTCGCTTTTAATACTCCTTGATCACGATTTTATTGCTTTTATTTGTTAAATGCTTTTTTTATTTTCTGCTTTCGTCTCTCTTTCCTACAGTTGAAGTCAGAATTATTAAATCCCTGAATTATTAGCCCCCCTGTTTATTTTTTCCCCAATTTCTGTTTAACGGAGAGCAGATTTTTTTCAACACATTTCTAATACTTTTAATAGTTAATTTCTAATAACTTATTTCTAATAATTTATTTTGTCTTTACCATAATAACAGTAAATAATATTTTAATATATATTTTCAAGACACTTCAATACAGCTTAAAGTGACATTTAAAGGCTTAGCTAGGTTAATTAGGTCAGCAGTTCCCAACAGGGGGGTCGCGGCCCACAAGGGGGCCTCAGCAAGCTCTGTGGGTGGTTGCGTCATATTTGAAAAACTTTTTCGCAGTGGACAATTAGGAGAACGATCATGTTGCCTTAGTTCATTTTATCCCCTGGCTGACCAAATATTGGACAAATTTGTATTTGTAGTCTCACTGATTCACCTTCAGCAGCTAATACTAATGACCCAAGCATAGTGGACCCAGGTGAGAAAGCTCCAAACATTTTGGGTCGCAGTGCTAGCAATACTGGAAACATGAAATTCAGGAAATACCAAGATAGTTACCTGAACTATGGTTTTATTCCATTTTCTCGAAGCAAAGAGTCTCTGACCCAGCCACAATGCATTATCTACGCCAAAGTTCTTGCAAACAAATGCATGAGGCTTTCCAAATTACTAAGAGATTTGCAGACAACTCATGCCCAATTCTGCAAGTTGTACCCAATAAGGCCTACTGATGTTTTGCTTTTTTATTTTACATTAGGCAATTATTTGTGCATAAAGATTTCTAGAGATAGAAATAAACATGCAGTTTTTAGATGGAAAACATGCAGTTTGTTTGAAAACAACCTTATTTTTGTCATATCTACTGACAAACTTATGTGAGCAATAATATCAATAAATGTGGAGGGGGGCCTCACAACATTTTCCGGTGGGAAAGGGGATCTCAGGGAAAAAAAAGGTTGGGAACCACTGAATTCGGTTAACTGGGCAGGTTAGGGTAATTAGGCAAGTTATTGTATAACGATGTTTGTTCTGTAGACTTAAAACAAATGGCCTAAGGGGCTAATAATTTTGAACTTAATTTTTTTTAAATTAAAAACTGCTTTTATTCTAGCCAAAATAAAACAAATAAGACTTTCTCCAGAAGAATTTCTTTTATCAGACATGCTGTGAAAATTTCCTTGTTCTGTTAAACATCATTTGGGAAATATTTAAAAACAAATATTCAAAAGGGGGCGAATAAATCTGACTTCAACTGTATGTCTGGTCAACTTTGTTTTTAAATGTGCTTTATAAGCAAATATTGTATTGTATTGTTTTCAGATTTCTTCAAAAATAGTGTAAATAGTGAGTAAATTAGTATTTTTGGTTGAACTGTCCCTTTAAATATTATATCAAAAGTTCAACAAATACTCTGTTTGTACCAAAGACTTCATAGTATACCTCCAAGTACTTCTATATCTAAATATATCAATGATTTTATTCTTGTGGTATGGCAGACGGGATGTATTTACTGTAGATATTTTGTTGTTGAGCTTCTAAATCATAATGTTACTAAAAGGTCTTTCTAAAAACGTAACATCTTTTAAGCAAACTTGAAAAAATGTATCCTGAAAATAAAGAGACGGCACGGTGGCTCAGTGGTTAGCACTGTCACCTCACAGCAAGTTTGGTTTGAGTCCCAGCTGGGCCAGATGGCATTTCTGTGTGGAGTTTGTTCGGTTTCCCCTACAAAGACATGGGGTATAAGTGAGTTGGGTAAACAAAGTTGGCCATAATGTATGAGTGTGTGTGTGTAAATGTTAGTGTATGGGTGTTTCCCAGTACTGGGTTGCGGCTGGAAGGGCATCCGTTGTGCAAAACAAATGCTGAAATAGTTGGCGGTTATTTCCGCTGTGGCGACCCCTGATAAATAAGGCACTAAGCTGAAGGAAAATGAATTAGTTTTAGTATAAAGACCCCCAAGAAACAGACGTACATCCTGAAGAATTCATTTTTTAAAATGGTAGGAATTAAGATTTATTTTTTTTCCATATGAACAAGTGGTTTGATTTTATTTGTATTTTTTACAAGTACTATTTTTTTTGAGAAAACTTGCAAAAATTTCTAGCATATTCCAAGTCAAGAATGAACATGAAAAAGGGGATTTATTGCTGAATGTCAAATGAAAACTACACTTTCACCGTGTGAATACGACTCATTTGCTGCGGTTACCATGCACCCATCTATCTGAACCACTAGAACATGCAGAGAGAGGGACGCCTTACAGGCAGAGAGGAAGAACAGAAGAAACAGAGAGAGGAAAAACAGGAAGAAAATCAATCCGTGAGACGAGTAGTGCTTTAAAACGAATGAGTCTTGAGCATGTGTGTGTGTAAGTGTGTGTAAGTTTATCTGAATGTGTGTGTGTGTGTAAGTGTAAGTGTTGTGTGGGTGGACGGTTCGTCTTTTTTAAATGTAGGTTGCTGGGCTTCTGGAACAAGGGGGTTTACACTTTATAATCCACCTAATGTAGCACGTCTAGTAGCCGAACACGCATTGCTTCAAGCAAGTCTCCAACTTACAGATGTGTCAAAGGGAGAGAGAGAGAAAAATAGAGAGAGAGAGAGAGAACACAGACTTGGAACGACCCTACCAAAAACAAAAGGAAAGCCAACAAAACATGGATCGTTCTCAGACAAACACATCTGGTCGTATATCGTTCTTCGTCGTCTTCCCAGCATGACGCAGACAAGACGGGCAGTAATGGATCTGTTTTATGGGTAATGCAGTTTTCGATGAAAAGTCCTGAGACACAGTGCGGCTTAAAGCTGCTGGCATAGGAATGGGAAGGTGTGGGAGAGAGATGTAGGTCCGTGTAGGCTAGAATCAGGCTGGATTGGTTCCTCCGCAGGCCAACGACTACACAAGGAAGGAAAGTTACAGTGCAATGAGCTCGTGTCACCACAAGGGGGCAGTTTAACCCATTTGCGTTAACTCGGTAACATAACGGAGCTCCCCTTCGACAAAGCCAACATCCTTAAAAGAGTACAAGCATACAAGTATACACACACAGACGCACGTCGACACTCACAACACGCACACGCGCTCGAAACGTTAACCTGAAGACGAATACAACTCGAACGCACGAACGGAACATGTTCTCGCACAAAACCGCGTACACAAAAACACATACGTTTACACTGAGGTTCAACGATATTCTCACGCACACGGACAGAAGTGTAAACACATTCATTGGACGCACAGACCACCATTTGGAAAACCCTGAACACCAGGGCCGATACTGTGACCCAGCGCCATGCCCTGTGAACTCCTGCGTACCTCTGTTTCAATGGAAACAATATGCGACGACCAGTTGAGAGAAAAGAAACTGAGAAATGTCGAAACTGAAGTTGAACGCAAATGGCGCTCGGATGCGCGAACCAATCGGCATCCGATGCGATTTAACGTCGGTCATGTGTGTGCGTGTGAATCCTACTCATGTAAACAAACACCTTACACAGAAGTGATTCGATATTGCATGGTGTCTGAATAATATCACAGTTCAAATGGGGAGATCCTGAACGAACGAAACAAACTAACAAAGAAAAAAACAAACAAACCAAAAAAAACAAACAAACATGTCTATAAAACCCAAGAGTCTGTTTTTAAGAAAGGCTACAAAAAGTCAACTGAACCTCCCTCGTCGGCAAACAGCAAAAGGCACCACAATATTATTCTATTTCTAACTCGTGAAAAAATTGGCACGTAATTCTTCTTCATAATGCTGTAAATCAAAAAAAGGAATTACATATAAATAGTTTTTCCCCCTATAAAAAAAGTCTTTGCTGCTAGCTAGTAGACAATTTTTGCTGAAATGAAAATAAATATTTCATTTGTTTAGAATATCTTCTGTTATATAAAATAAAAAATATTTCTCATAGGTGCAGGTCTATAGCATATCATTTGTTTTGCGCGACTACGCAAGTCCGTCCGTCTCTCGTTGATCTTTTTTTAAAGGGGTGCATTGTCCGGTCTGAACCGCGACTGTGTCAGTTTGTTGGCCTGCACGTTAGGTCGGGAGCCCGAGCGTCCCGTGTTGCTGAAAGTCCGCGTGTCGTTGGGTCGGTAGATGGTGGCCGGTTCGGTGGCGTTCATGTTCTGCATACTGAGAAATGGCGTGCTCTCGCCGTGGCCGAGGTCACCGACCTCCTCGTCCTCCCACTCGCTGTCTGACAGGCAGCTTTGAGAGCTGTAGTTCCTAGGGCCTGGAGTGTGCCCGTTGATCCGCGATCTCCTGCGCCAACGCCGGCTGCCGCTGCTTTTTTTTGGCTGCTCTCGGGAGGACATGTATTCCTGTGTGGTCTCGTAATCCTCATCGTCCACGAAACGGTACGGGCTGGACGGAAGGGAGCCTGTGCTCTCTGCCGCATAATATGGCCGCCGGGAGCGGCGGTAGCGGTACAGCAGGGGCTGGTCATCGTCGGGCGAGTAAGCCGCCATTGCAATGGCCGAGGCGGCGGGCGGCAGGGACAGGGCGTGGCTGGCGTTGGGTGTGGTGATCTGAAAGGTAGGCACCTGCGGGGGCAGTGAGGAGTGAAAGTCCACCGGTGAGAGACGAGCAGGCGTGGTCAGAGCAGACACGTACCTGAGGGGAGACACAAAGACATGAGAGGAGGTCAGTTGTCTGTGGAAGAGGTGAAAAAGCAAATACATCCATAGGGGATCCCAAATGAGATTGTTTTTTTGAAATCAAGTGCACTGCACGCTCAGAAACGTCTACTCTAGGTGTGTCAAAACTTGGGTTTAGCTCCAACTTGCTTCAACACACCTGCCAGGAAGTTTTTTAGTATGCTAGTTAGAGCTTAATTAGCTGTTTTAGGTGTGTTTCACTGGAGTTGGAGCTAAACTCTGCAGGACACCGGCCTTCCAGGACTACTTTGTGCACCTATCCCTGCCTCTAACCTACCTCTCATAGTGACATCACTTGCTCTATTGAGTGCATGTGTCTGAGCACTTACACTACTCAGCACTCACACAGACACTACTGCCTTTTTAGGGCTGCACGAATGCATGAAGGTTGTTAAGGTTGTATTTTCATGGTCATGCATGTCAAAAATGAACACAAACAGTATTGAAGCCATTAAAAATGCAATAAATAGTTCAACATTTCTTTTTTTTCCATGGACCTTCCATTGAGCCAAATCCCAAAACGGTCCAATGGGTTGAATGTCTCAATCATAGTTCAGTAAGTTTATAAATTACTGTAAATTAACAAGAAAATCGTTAAAAATCATTAATTAATACCTTAAGCCTAATTTTACGAGTGGCTGTTTTTGGTAGATGACATTAATTTTTTTCATCCATATATTTCTAAAAACATACTAATTATACACTGTCACTGAAAACTATTGGTGTCTGACAAAAACTTTTTTCACTACCTCTTTTTCCACCCTTTTTTCATAATAAAAATCATTATGGCATAATGCATTAGTTATATCATAAGTATTCGCAAGTACAATGTAAATAAAATTCGAAATCAAACAGGTTTAATTAAAGACAATTTAATCCAACAAGTTAGGTAAGTTTGACACACCTAGTTTAATGTTTAAACGGAGTATAAGGAATTTTATAAAGAAATTAGGATATAAATATTAGTATTATGTATTTTAAGGTTTTTAATGCACAATACTATAGTAATATTGAAATATATTACTTTTTTTGGTATTTTGAGAATCAAAACACAATCGATTTTTAAATATGTTTGGTAAAAGATTTGAGTTGGTTGTAAGACCTTCTTTGAACACACAAAGTTTTCTCTAAAATCCCAAAAAGCCAATTCTAAAAGGTAGTTTGCATGTCATTGACTAGTGATACTACTAGCGAACACATCAGGGCCAATACAGTCCAATCCAATGGGGAACATTTTTAAATATACACTACACTACCAATCAAAATTTCAGGATCTGTAAAATTGTGTAAATGCATTGTATGTCATAAGATGCAGTCTCATTTTTTCAAAATAACTATAAATTTTAAAAAATGTAACAAAGCATTCAACAAAATTTCTCACAAATAAAGAAATCTTTGAATCTTAATCAGCCTATTTGCATGAATCATCCAACAAAAACAGACAGTTCTTTAAAATTAATAAGACTTTCCAGAGCTACTACAGAGAGGAAAAATAGACATTTAATGGTATATTTCACCCCAAAATGATAATTTGCAGTTAACCCTTTAACTTGCACTCTATAAAAATGTTGCTTTTGACCAAATTCTTTGGTTAAACTGTCTTGATGACACCACTCTAAGCAAATGTAATTTGTTTTTATGACATTTTATGAGATTTTCTATGACATTTTTATGACACTTGTGATAAAAAGTTACCAATTACGATGCCTGTTAAAGAGTTCATTTGTGTCAGCTAATGTGACAGAAAGCACATGCTTCACACTGTTGTAAACACATTAAAATTTTTAGCCGCAGCTATGCAGTAAAGGTAATAATATATTAAATAACTTTCAGGGTTTTTTTTGTACAGTCCAATTGCTTTAATGTACTGACAGGAACCATAAACCCTAAACTTTATCCAATAGCTATTAGTTTAGGTTATTTTCATATAAAATATAAAAATATTACATAATATACTTATTTGACTCTTAAAGTGACAGTTACGCCATTAACCAACCACCAGGGACAACAGTTCCAGCTAATAAACTATTCGGTAATGTCAAAGGACAAAGTAATCCTGTGTGGTTTAAAGGTGAGTAAAACCAGTGAACAGTGTAGAGTAAAAACAGTGTAGTAGTGTTTTGGCACACAACATTGCTACGTCAAAAAAAAAAGTGATACAAAAAATTTAACAACAGTCTCTGAAAGGGTCCAACAAAACCACAAAAAGTCTTTAGACGTGGTCTGAAAAGTTGCTAAATATAGAGATAAAGTTGGTAAGTTGGCAAGACTGAAATCACTGTTTTCCATCAAGGTAACCTGAGGTGTTGAAATATATTTGGCTAAACCAGGAGTGGGCAGAGTTTCAAATACCAAAACAAAGGCATTAATTACGACACGAATGTTCATTTTTAAAGTAAAATAACTGACTTTAGCATTGTTTTTTCAGATAAACAAGTATGTTCATTTACCATGTCTCTTAAATATCTGCAAACATATTATCTTTAGTCAAAAATGTACATACAGCACCTTTAAGCTGCAGGACAGACAACATGCTGTCGTTCGACCATTATGTGTTTCTCTGTGAAGCTCTTCTTTGGCTCTCGACAAAGACAGTTGCACTTTTTTGGCTCCTCTTGTCTCATCTTATTCTAACTTTGAAGCTCTCCTTGCCCTGCTCTCCAAACAAATAAGGAATTATGGATTTGATCCACTGGTCTTTGAACACAATTAACACCATCTTCTCAGCGAGAAGTCTGGGTTCGGGAGAACCCAACTGTCCTTCGGGGACGTTTGCAGCTAAATGCATGATGGACTGGTGGGAGAAGTGGGGCGTTGTTTGCCTGGCTGCTCTGTCCCTGGAGGATATTGAAGATATCTATCTATTCGGAACTTTGATGACAGGGTTTCTGCTGATGGGCTTAGGCGGAGCCCTCGGGAATCGACGATTGAAAAAAGCGGTCAGTGCGGCTCAAAACCCCACCATGCTGGCTGGATGGATTGAAATGGTGGCGAGCAGGGTTGTTGGTACTCAGACTGTGGCATTAGAACAAAATCAGGGAGAAACTAGCAACATTGTAACATGAATTGGTTAGACGAACATTAGATATTTACGAAACTGGCAGATATTGACCAAAATTGGAAACCCTTTCTTCTCTTTCGGCTTCCTTGAGACTCTTGCCAGTCGGCCTCAGCTGGAAACAAACAACTTCACCTGGAGAACATGATAACAAGACATCCTGAATTCCTGCTCCCTGTTCCAAGGACACCTGTGAGACTCTACAGCAGGAGTCACCAATCTCGGTCCTGGAGGGCCGGTGTCCCTGCAAAATTTAGCTCCAACTTGCCTCAACACACCTGCCTGGGTGTTTTAAGTATACCAAGTAAGACCTTAATTAGCTCATTCAGTTGTGTTTGATTAGGGTTGGAGGTAAAATCTGCAGGACACCGGCCCTACAAGAACAAGTTTGGTGAACCCTGCTCTACAGGCTTACACACACACATACACAGCTACAGAAATACAATCACTGCATAACCCCAACATCCCACCTCTTCAAGTGCACTGGTGTGGGTAGGTAGGTCTGTGACCAGTGCCCCCTGGCTGCAGGACCAGATGGCTGTTGCCTTTATTGGACTATCTCCACATCTCCTGTTCCCATCCCCAGTTGTGATGTCATGTCTGTGTCTATGTGTTTTTGTGCTAGTGCTGGGGCTTTCCCCCCCCTGATCTCACACTGCCCTACTTCAACGAAAATCTAAGAAGGGCCTTTTTCCCTCTTCCCTAATGTGTCTTATTTCCGTAGCTTCCTAAAAGCTACCTCTCATCTGACCTGTCTTCCACTGAAATGTGTGATGTTCGTGTATGGTCAAGCGGGGTCCCATTTTACTGCATGTAAAAGTGTATGTGACAATTAAAGGCTTTTTATCATCATCCCCCCCTTTCACTCACCTGTCGCTGTGAGGCGAGTCCCGCAGGGAGTCATACGAGTCTCCATACTGCAGAGAGCACTGTGTGGCATCAGGATAACCACAGTAGGCGGCACGGCGGGCACGTGCCTCCATACACGCCGGGCTACTGCATTTACTGGTGCCGACGGAGGAGGAGAGCGCCCCCGACTGGCAATCTGAATGAATGCTGTCCGTCCGCTCCATACTCCATGTGCGCTCCTCGTGCCTGAGAAGAAGAGAAAACCGACAAAAATCTGAGAGGAATGCACGGAAGGATTTGAAGATGTAGATAGTATTTGTTACATTTTAATTTAAATTGTGAAGATGAATTAAATTAATCAAAAGCTATTATGAAGACATTTATAATGCTACACCAAAAATTCTAAATATAAATTCTGAGTGCGCCTCACATAGGTGAGTGGGCTGAACAAACCACCTGTAAAAAATGCACATTTTCATCTAGTTATTCACCAGATACTTTCTTACAATTACTCCATTATCTCTATAAAAACATTGTACATTTCTGAGTGTGACACAGGTGAGTGGGCTTGACAAATCAACTGTAGAAACTGTTGATTTGTTTTGAACTCTTCTCTCTATATGCATTGGACACTATAATTAGGGGCCGACTACACAGGACATGCTTTTGGCATTGAGAGGCGCCTGTTTTGAATGGTTTACTAACGGCAACAATTGTTTTGCGTGCTGCTTATGCACCCTGCGGGCCTTTGCCATGACAGCTCTGAGCGGAAAACTGCTTTACCTCAGTCATTCCATCTTTTTCATTCTCCAATCAAAGGAAATAAGAGGCGGGGTCTCGGGAGCTGTATGACTCGCAAATCTTGAATTTCACAATGTTAATAAACATTAAAATTATACTAATATCAACAGCAACACTCGCGCTCTATAGGCAGGCGATTCAGTCAACAAAAATACATTGCAGTGTGCCTAGTGTTTTTGGAACGTAAAAACGTGTTTGGTGTGATCGACCCCTTAGGGTGCTTTCACGCTAGCACATTTGGTCCACACCTGGGTTTGTTTGATGTCAAAGTATGGCACGTTTAGCTAATGTGAACGATGTCTTCAGAACTCGAGTGCGCACCTGCGAATTATACCCAAGCACGCCTGAAAATGCTGGTATGGGGTATGGTTTGCAAGAACATCGGTTCGGTATACTTCTGATATGAATGCAATCGTACCAAATAACTGAAGGGAATCGCGAACTGTACAACAAGCTTTTTTTCCATTACATTCATTTATGTGTGTGGACTGATCCAGTGCACACACTGATAATGTCTTTTTTCACCTCTAAAAACAACTTCTGCAGACATCACGTTATGTTCTGAACATTTTTTCATGATGTTTGTACGTCTTTCCATTTTGGCGCCATCTAGCAACAGCTGTACACACAACAGCAGCTTGATGATGCAAGCATACCAGGGTTCAGAAGGAAACAAGACTAGCTGAGAAGGTGGCAAGGGGAGGACAATCGAACTTGAGTTCGGACCAGGCAATTGAACTAAGTGTGCACCCACCAGCTCCATCTCAAAAAGGAAAACTACGTTTACTTGTGAATGTACCAACAATCATGTTGCACTACTTCCCTTTTCAACCTAAAATTGACTTACTTTTTTTGCATGGTATTGTTTTTGTTTTGTGTAAAATACTTGCATAGTCTGTCTTGGGTTATGCATAATTAACTGTTTATAGTATATGTATAGTTAGATATGTGCTCCAGTATGTTAATCGGTTTAAAAGTTTCTCTTACATACAGTGTTGTTTTTATTTATGATTATGTGTTATCTGAACTTTCTTTTTTAAAGAATAATACAAATGTATTAAAGTGTCCATACAAATATTAAGCATTATTCCAAATAGTTTTAAAGTATTTTTACTGCGTCTTGACTATCAAATGATTTCTGTGGGACTGTGTTACTCAGTAGACTGGAGTAATTATTTTTTTTTTAAATTATTGTTATTTAAATCTAAACTATACTCTATTAAAGTTATGTATTGGAAATAAATTAAATAAAACAAAAACATAATTTTATTTTACACTAATTGTAATGTTACATTTAATACTGAAAACAAACTAAAAGAAATAACTTTAGACATATTTAAACTATAATACAATATATAATAATACAAAACACAACAAAATTATTGAGGTGAAAATAAAATATTAACATAAAAGCTCAGATTCAATGCTATTAAAAATTTATCAAATTAAAATCTTATTTAAAAGATGCCAACATAACATTTGTTGTTTCATTTGGTAGTGGAAGAAATACAATATATAAAAATCTCAAATTTTAAATAAGTAAAACATAAATAAATAAAAATAATAATTAAAAAATGACGTTTTTAAAATATTTGAAGTTTAAAATAATAGTACTAAATATTTTTTTTTTATAAAACAATTATTAATGAAAGACAAAAAAAAATGCAACCCATTAAAGATTTTTACAAAACTTAAGGTAGTACAATTGTATTAAAATATTAACTATTAACTAGTAAATCAATGATACTAAATTGCTGTATTTCCCCCCACAATATAACTCTTTTTACTGTTTTTTTGATGAGTGCAGCCTCTTAATAGTCCCTCATGCTCATTTAATAAAGATGCAGTAAAAACAGCAGTTTTGTAAGATGATAAATTCTTTTATATATACTATATATTTCCTTTAAACAAACAAAATACATCAACGGATGGATAGATATACATTAAGTTAGTTGAGTTGGCAAATGAGCATCTAAAGAGACAGATGAGAGGAGGATATACAGTGCAGTAGGAGACGGATATATTTCTGGATATATTGACAGAGGTCAGTACCGGTGGCTGGAAGTGTGAGACGCTGTGGAGGTGTGGTGGGACCGTGACGACATTCGGCTGCCCGAGAAATTGCCTGAAGTTTCAGTTCCATGTCGTACTACTCGTTCAGTTGCCGGGACATTCTTAGATATATACTGCAATAAAAAACAAAAAAGCTTGATGACAAATCAAAAACTATTCAGACAGCAACATTTCTCACATTATATCACAGTTTATTCAACAGTTTAGAAAATGGTAATAAAATATGACAAATTCAGAGATAAACAGTGTCAAAACTTCATCTTGTGACAGATTTTATCAGTACATACATACATATCAATACTACATTCATTTATTGGTGCAGGAATATTAATTTGTTTGTTTTATGTCAAAAATACATTTGTGTTTGATCATCACACATCTGCTGAAACAGTCAATCAAAGGTTGCTGTAGGTCAGATATTACACTCATTAACCCTCAAAACATTGAAAACTTAAATACATTTGGTTATTTAATATGTAATGGAATTAAATAAATAAATTTGCAAATGCATTGCACAAACTAATATTACAGACTTTTTTCATCCGATAGTCATTGTATAATTTAGACACTGGCTACAGTCTATATAAATTGGACTTAAAAAAACTGAGTTACCAACCAACCAACCAGTCAATCAACCAACAAACCAACCAACCAGTCAATCAACCAACAAACCAACCAACCAGTCAATCAACCAACAAACCAACCAACCAGTCAATTAACCAACAAACCAATCAGTCAATCAACCAACCAACCAACAAATCAATCAATCAATCAATCAATCAATCAATCAATCAATCAATCAATCAATCAATCAATCAACCAACCAACCAACCAGTCAATTAACCAACAAACCAATCAGTCAACCAACCAACCAACCAACCAATCAACCAATCAACCAATCAATCAATCAATCAATCAATCAATCAGCCAGCTAATTAACCAACCAATGAATTAGTTTATTTAACCAATCAATTAATCAACCAACCAACCAACCAGCCAATCAACCAACCAACAAATTAATTTATTGAAACAACCAACCGACAAATCAATCAATTACTCAACCAACCAACCAACAAACCAACCAACCAGCCAACAAATCAACCAATGAATCAATCAATAAATAAATGAACCAACCAACCAACCAACCAACCAACCAACACAAATCGACCGACCGACCGACCAGCCAGCTAATTAACCAACCAACTAATTAGTTTATTTAACCAATCAATCAATCAATTAATCAACAAGCAAGCAACAAACCAACAAATGAATGAATGAATGAATCAATCAATCAATCAATCAATCAATCAATCAATCAATCAATCAATCAACCAGCCAACCAATGCATTAATTTATTTAACCAACCAACCAACCAATTAATCAATCAAGCAACCAGCCAATCAACTAACCAACAAATCAATCATTTACTCAATCAATCAATTAATCAATCAATAAATCAATCGATCAATCAATCAATCAACCAGCCAACCAATGCATTAATTTATTTAACCAACCAACCAACCAACCAACCAACCAATTAATCAATCAAGCAACCAGCCAATCAATCAACCAACCAACAAGTGAATCAATCAATCAACAAATCAATCAGTTAATCAATTAACCAATCAACCAACCAACTAACCAACCAACCAACCAACCAACCAACCAACCAACCAACCAACCAACCAACACAAATCAATCAATCAATCAATCAATCAATCAATCAATCAATCAATCAATCAATCAATCAATCAGCCAGCTAATTAACTCATCAATTAATTCGTTTATTTAACCAATCAATCAATCAATCAATCAATCAATCAATCAATCAATCAATCAATCAATCAATCAATCAATTAATTAATCAACAAGCAAGCAACCAACCAACAAAGCAATCAACCAATCAATCAATCAATTAATCAATCAATCAACCAGCCAACCAATGCATTAATTTATTTAACCAACTAACCAACATATCAATCAATTACTCAATCAAGCAACCAGCCAATCAATCAACCAACAAATCAATAAATTAATCAATTAACCAAACAACCAACCAACCAACTAACCAACCAATCAACCAACCAACGAATCAACCAATCATTCAATCAAACCTAAACCTAGGTCAGTACTAAAAGCTAAATTGTAAAAGCAACTTTATACTGATCAATAAGTGCATCATCACACTTTTATTCCTACATCTTCTGAACCAGAGCTGCTCCTCTCTATATACAGAGGATACATACTGTGAAGGCCCCCCAAACCTCCAGGGAGCCCACTTGATATCCAAGAAAACATAATGACAAGCAGGACAAGAGATTTAAACAGACTCACATCCACCATGGGGATCTCCTCAGGCCCGGGGCCAGGATGGTTGGGTCCGTTGGCCAGCATGCGGTTTGGATGCTCCGCACACATGTTCTGGTGCAGATGGTTATGCATCTTCTTTCTTTGTTTCCTAAAAAAACCCCATAATATCTGATCAGTGACCTATACCACTATAGCAAAGCCTCTGTACATAAATCAAGATGTGAACCAATATCCAGTTAAATCCAATCTTTTGAAAAATGCTTGGTTGTTTTAGGACAAACTTAACATTTGGTCTCAAAGGGAAGTTTAGATTCTAATCACTTTACAGATTTGTGTGTTGAGCATCAGTTAAGAGAATGTTAGCACCTGTTAGCTTTAATTGTTTGATAAACTGGATCAGTTTAAGCTTTTGCCAGCTAATTTCAGCTTTCGGGTTTAAAATGATTTTTGGGGCGGGATCAAAATCGGCGACGTAGCGCAAAACTGCAAGTGCAAAGAAGAACAAAGACGCGTCTGTTGCTCATTATTATTCATAGCAGAGTTTTCTTATAATATAAGAATATCCGGCTACTTAATTATTCATGAATGCACGTGCTTTTCAATGGCAAGGCAGTGCCAAGCTATAAGACCCTATGTTGATTGATGACTGGGTGAAATCGCGTCCACGGACCCATAGCACGTAGTATTTAGCCATTCATGAAGGCATGTTTTTCCCAGCGATTATGTCAGGGCCGAAACAGCAAAGCTATTTCTGTGCAGCAAGCATTTTTGTCGGGAGAGCAGTCCAAGTATGGTGGAGAATGGCGGACTTAGTCCTTTATCAGTGGAGTTCGTTCACATTTAGACACATCGCCGTGCTGCTGTATTTGCCTAAATCCTCCAGATTACCAGCAGGGCTAATGGTTGAAATAGACAGGGCAAGAGACCTGGTGCACTGAGTATGCATTCAGACCGGGTTATTGAGTGAAAAGTCCTCATTTATAGTGCTTATATAAACACGATTATCTTTATAATGATACAATTTGTAGTTGTGTGATATGAAATTACAAATAAAAAATGTAGCAGGGCATTAAATCTCTGTTTATTTCTTTGCATTTGAACTTTGTAAACTATGAAATCATGCGTGTTCTCAATATTTGGGTTTCATTTTGTGAGTTGACTGACAACAGTTGTTTGCTCCTCTCATTCTCCCCTGCTCTGCTGGCCACGCCCACTGCTGCCATCATGGAACACCACACCCATTATGATGCTATTTTTTTTTATTCTGAGAAAGACCTAAACCGAAAGTGGGGGGTATCATGGCCCTTTAAGATTGCAACTATGCAGTTTTTTTTATAAGAATCACCTGTTTTGTCATTGCTTTAGACATTACACTACAGAATCATTCAAATACTAGCTCTAAAGTGATATTTGTGCTGTTCTAATGTCAGCTGCAGATGTGAATGAATGGCGGAAGAAAGTAGTTCCTCATACAAAAGGGTTTTTGAGGCTCTCCGTTTTTTTTAATACACACAATTATGCCATTAAACTGTTGTATAAACGCAATATCACACTCATAGCAATGCGATGTGGCTGTATATCTGCACTGTTGGGGGGCACTAAGGCACTCAGCCTGTGCCCTCGAGCCAAAGACCTATTATATATTTACGATAATTCATAAAAATGCTAAAATGTTATAAAACCGGCATATTTACATTACCATAAGAATAATTTGATGACTTATTGAAGAACTCCATTTGCATTTGCATTTCCACAGTGCAGCGGTACAATACTAATTTATTGGCATTTAAGATAATTCTTTTCCACTATCAAGTTACTTTTATTTTTTCATCAGGAGCACTGTTTTTTTTAGATTTTAAACATTATTTCACTCACATTTTGACATTTTACTTAATTAAAAGATCAAAGTAGACTCTTATCTTGCATTTAATACATTTTTGATCTATTTAAACTTTTAGAAATGGCATTTGATGCAGACACCAAACTGTGTCATCTTATTTTTGACCCATATACGTTTACAACTGAATGACTTTTGAGTTCTGCTTCTACCATTCAGGGCTGTAAGTGCTTTTTAATTTAACATGTGAACATGTGCACAGCTCCCTTTGGCTTACTTGGTTTTGCAGTATGCCACCACGCACACGATGCCAACCACCAGCAGAGCCACGCAGATGCCAGTTATCGTCAGCACTCGTTTTTGGTACAGCTCCTCAGCCTCTGAATGAACGAGAGCCATGGACAAGCACACACATATGCGGACGGAGACACACAGACAAACACATGTACAACACAGAGACACACATACATACAAAACAAACAAGCGCAGCATCAGTGGCAGCCTTTAAACCGGGTCCAAAAACCCACTCAGACTAAAACACTTCATTATGGTCTATTTGATAAGTTTCTAAAGCATCTCATTTACTTGAAGGGGGATAGTTCACCCAAAACATCTCACAATTTACTCACTCTGGGGTTGTACTTTAGTTGTATGCTATTTCGTTTTTTGGACCACAAAAGGATATTTTTTAAATATATGTTTTGCTCACACTCATTCATATTATGGCTATCAATGGTGACAAGCATCATGTTTTTTTAAGTATACAAAATCACAGCATAGTCGTATCATGGAAGACATGCTCTGTATCGCATGTGTTCTGGGTTAATATGACTAGGCATAGTGATACCATTTGTAATGAAACAATACCAAATATAATGTATTATTGAACAAAAATCCTGACTTTGGCTGTTGTTCTCTGTGCATGACTATGTGTTCATGAAGGTTTATAAGCACAGTTCATTAAGGCACAATCCCAATTCTATTTTTGTACCCCAACCCCGTCCTCTTGGCCCTTGAAACAGAATGTGAAGGGGAAGGGCTTTCAAATTTACTCCTAAGAAACGGGACACCACTACAGCACCCCTTTCTTACTCCTTGGTTTCAAGTGTGGTCCTGAAAAATCTCCCTTTTGAGTGGTATCTAGCCCTGGTTTGGGGTGGGGGTCTTGCCTTGGTATTAGTTAACAAAGGTGATGGCATTCACTACCCAGTGGGCCAATCTCTATTTAAAGACAGCATTTCCCTTCTGCCAACCTCAAAAGATTCGTCTCCTCAAAGACAAAAAGCTGCTGAGAATGTCTGATATTTTGTGTGTGGTCCACATAAATGCACAGTGTGCAGATGGGACTTAGTAAAGAAAAGACTGGGTCTGCCTCCTCCAAAGCTAGTGCTTGCAGGTTCACTACCTGATCTTGAAAAGAAGTAATAGTAGTCAGCTTCTAAGCAACGTTTCCAAGCCATGGTCTGAAGAATATTTGAGAATAACCCAACCCAAATTCCATACATGATCTGCTTACCAAAAATGCCTACAGGTGCCAGACCCTAGATGCCGACCAGTAGATCGGGTACAGAGAACACAGAACCGAAATTTTAATTTTACCAAATCAAGTGGTTCAGATCAATCTTTCTCCAGACCTGCCAGCACTTCAGAGAGATCCCAAGAGGGCTGGTTGGAAGGGTGCAGCTTCTTGGCGCCAGCGTGGAAATGGATGATCAATTCATGCTTTCTAAGCATCTTGCCATTCAACTACATCATGGTGCGCAATGCAAACCTTTAGTTTTGTAGGTGACAGCCAGGAGTAAGCACAACACTGATTGGGCTGGTTTGGGGTCTGCTTGACACTCAGCAAAATCAGTGCATGGGGAAAGTATTCATAGAGCTTCACTTTATCCACATTTTTTATGTTACAGCCTTATTCCAAAACATCCCCACAACATGATGCTGACACCACCATGCTTCACTGTAGGGATGGTATTAGGCTGGTGATGAGCGCTGCCTGGACCAAATGTAATACCTGGCACTCGCTCCAAAGGGTTTAATTTTAGTCTCATCATACCAGAGAATTTTGTTTCTTATGGTCTGAGAGTCCTTCAGGTGCCTTTTGGCAAATTCCAGGCGGGGAGTGGCTTCCGTCTGGCCACTCTACCATACAGGCCTGATTGGTGGATTGCTGCACAGATGGTTGTCCTTCTGCAAGGTTCTCCTCTCTCCACAGAAGAACGCTGAAGCTCAGACAAAGTGATCATCGGGTTATTGATCACCTCCCTGACTAAGGCCCTTCTCCCCGATCACTCAGCTTAGATGGCCGGCCAGCTTTAGGAAGAGTCCTGGTGGTTAAACATCTTCCACTTACGGATGATGGAGGCCACTGTGCTCATTGGAACTTTCAGAGCAGCAGAAATGTTTCTGTAACCTTCCCCAGCCTTGTGCCTCGAGACAATCCTGTCTCAGAGGTCTACAGACAATTCCTTTGTCTTCATGCTTGGTTTGTGCTTTGACACGCACTGTCAATCATATAATAGTTCATGAACTCCAATTAGAGCATCTGCAATAAACTAGTTGCAGTTTAAAGCCCTTCTGTTGTGTGGGTTGCAACAGCAAGTTAATCCATTCATCTGTCACCTCATTCAGATCTGTTAGTAAACTACATAGATATATTTAGGGGGATTTTTAATCATTGTATTTAATGCCATACTTTGAATAGTCATGATTTATTTGATAGTGCGTGCTTTTTTTGGTTGAACCGGAGTGAACTGTGATTGCAGGATAGTTTAATGTACAGAGACCAACGTCAAAGTTAGGATTACTGTCTAATAATTCATCAAATAGTAGTTTGTTTTTCACCAAACCTTAGACTTCCAGAGCAGTTGATATACAGTTGAAGTCAGAATTGTTAGCCCCCCTTTGAATTTTTTTTTCATTTTTAAATATTTCTCCAATGATGTTTAACAGATTCAGGAAATTTTACAGTATGTCTGATAATATTTTTTTCTAAAAAAGTCTTATTTGTTTTATTTAGACAAGATTAGAAGCAGTTTTCAATTTTTTAAACACCATTTTAAGGACAAAATTATTGGCCACTTTAAGCTATTTATTTTTTGATAGTCTACAGAACAAACCATCGTTATACAATAACTTGCCTAATTACCCTAACCTGCCTAGTTAACCTAATTAACCTAGTTAAGCCTTTAAATGTCACTAAGATGTATAGAAGTGTCTTGAAAAACATCTAGTCAAATATTATCTGCTGTCATCATAGCAAAGATAAAATAAATCAGTTATTAGAAATGAGTTATTAAAACTATTATGTTTTATAAATGTGTTGAAGAAATATTCGCTCTGTTAAACAGAAATTGGGGAAATAAATAAACAGGGGGGGTTGATTCAGGGGGCTAATAATTCTGACTTGAACTGTATATAGTGACTTGGCATAGGATCATTCTGTAATACTTTTGCATCTGTTTATATAAAATGATCACTATTCCTTGCTATTACATTGACAAGAAATTAAAAGTTTCTACATTTGTGGTCTGAAAAAGACAGAAGGCCACTTGGCATTAGAAGAACACCAGGGTGAATAAATAATGACTTGACTTCTGGCTTCATTTACTTACTCTGGTGTCATTACAAACTTGTATCAATTTCTGTCTTGTGTGAAAACACAAAGGAAGATGTTTAAAGCTTAATGTCCAATTACGTCCCTTTTAAATAACCAACATGAAAGTGCACTAAGACTCTGGAGCAATACTAAAATGATACATGTAACATTCATTCATTCATTTTCCTTCGGCTTAGTCTGTTTATTCATAAGGGCTCACCACAGCGGAATGAACCGCCAACTAATCCAGCATATGTTTTAAACAGCGGATGCTCTCCCAGTTGCAACCCAGTACTGGGAAACACCCATACACTCTCACATGCAAACACGTTCACTACAGCCAATTTAGTGAATCTAAATTCTAAATTCTAATAGTTACAAACTGTAAAAACTTGCTTTGTTTGGACATGAACTACACGAATCACTTTATTCCAGAAGACTCCTGTCATTATGAATATATTCACCTATTGAAATGCTCAGGTAAGATGACATACATCTTAAACAGTTTTTTTTTCTTTGTACCATCTTGAATTGTGCGCTCGCTTTCATCAATTTTGCTTTAATTCCTATGCACTTACTCCTTCACAAACTGAACCGCCAATCAGAGTTCTCTCTCGACTTTTTAAAAATTCAAAAAGTGACTGTAATATGCAAATAAACACCACAAACACTAAGATGACATATTTTTAGTTTATCAGACTATGAAGCAGCTTGGACATTCTACTAAACATCTCTTTTTGTGCTCTTTGAAAGAAAAAGAAAGTCATTTGGGGTCACAAGAGTGAGTAAATGATGAGAGAAATATTTTTTGGGAGCACTATCCCTTTATATTTCATTTTTTATGAGCGCTGAGGTGCATAAGATGTCATTCCAAACACATTCAGATGGCTGAAACCAGATTATAGGCAGCTTGGAAAGGGCAGAGCCGTGGCTCCTTTTCTGTCAGCCAGGAATTCACATAAAGTGCATCATGTTGAAATGGGGGGAGAACTTTTGGCCACTTTTAGGACAGAAACCACCCCGTGCAACACTAGGTACTTAAGATTTTTGGCTAAAAGTGTTCACAAAATGAAATCTCTGCCCCTCTGAGAGCCCATGACATGCATTATTCTGTACTGTATACAAAAACCCTGAAAACAGAGCAGTATGAGCTTATAGTTCTTGCATAAAGCATGCCTGCAAAATAGAGTAAGACACGCTGCATTTCTATAAAAGGCTCTCTGGAAATGGTTGTTCATAAAACCTCTTATTGTGAAGTCAACATGAAATCAAAATGATCCCATAGTACTTTTTAATGCACATTTCAGTTTTATTGTGAATAGTCTATTGTCTCTAGTTGTATTTTCAAACGAAATAATGTTTGGTTGCACTTTATTTACAGTGTTCTTGTTTACTGCGTAAATATATATTTAACAGAGATGCACCAATAGCAGATTAATTAAACATGCTTTGGTGGTGTAAGAGGCTAAATTATTATATTCATTTGTTTATATGACAAAACCTTGAGGGCCCTATCATACACCCGGCGCAGTGTGGCGCAAGGCGCGGCGCAATAGTATTTTGGTAGTTTTAGCTTGGCGCAAGAGTCGTTTTGAGGCGTTGCGCTACGCTGTTTAAATAGCAAATGCATTAGCGCTCATATGTGCGCCCATAGGCGTTCTGGTCTAAAAAGGAAGGCGTTCTGAGGAATCTGCTATTTTGAGAAACTACAATAGATTTTTCATTAGACCAAAACTAACCCGGTCTAAACTCCGGCGCAGAGTTGCGCCTCGCTTACACACT